CAAATATTGACGTTACTTTAGAAATTATTTGGAAAAAATCGAAATAAAAATGAACCTTCCACACCCTGTATCTCCGAAGCTAAGCATTTTAGGACATACATTTATACGAACTTTTTTACCATCTGCAGAATGTGCTGCCGAAGTTTCCGGAATACAGTTCGGACTACCCTGTATAGACATTGTCAAATTCAATGTCACTTTTTTTTGTTTAACAGAATTTTTGTGGCTTGAAAAAGGTGGTTAATTTTTTTCTGAATTGGAATCATCATCTGCAAAAGAATTAAATGAGCTGAGAATAGTATTCGCGGATTTATGTATGCCTTGTTTGCTGTTCATTACTCGATCACTCAGTCACCGCAGTCATCCACAACAATTCAAGGGATATTCGAAATATTTGTAACACAAGGAATTTTATTAAATTATACTAATTAATAAAATGTTTACATAACTTCCCATTCACAGTCAAACAATACTCCAAATGATTGTGAAATTCACGCCTCACAATACAAAACTGTTAAGGGAAGAATCTTTAGCATTCCACAGAGTGTGTCGTTTTCAGTCCTTCTAAATTTCTGTAATATGCCTATAAAGACGGAGTGTACTCCACAGGAAGAAGTTATTCGGCGAAAGATCCTGTGGTTTTTTCCACAGGATCGAAGTTGCGAAATTTATAATTATTTTTACAAAATTACTCTGTTTGGTAGGTATCTCAAAATTTTTGTAAACAAAATCTGACAATGAAGTGACATCGAATTTGACAAAGACACAATCACATTTTTGCTGGTATTTTAATTGTAGGTTTCTCTGGGCCGTATTACAAATTTTACTAATTTGAAGGTAGATTTTTGCAAATAATTTTTAAATGACTTTTCCAAATAAAAAAATCTACACAAAAGTACAACTTTTTATCTAATACAGCTTTTGCATAAAATCATCTGGGGAGATCATATTTTACCTTTTCAAAATTAACATGGGATTTCATATTTGTTTCCGTGTTTCAACGCACCACACGGTATATAACTTTCGTATCTAAATTTTAATAGTATTACATAAAAAGATATGGTATTATTCTGCGAATTTTTAATTGCATGTAATAATTATCATGTTTGAGAGTTTGAGGTAACAACTTGACTTGTCTACATTAAAAAATAGGTGAAATTATATTATTATTATAATTTCCATCTTTTATTACCTCTCATCATCTTATCATCATTTTCAGGATATTCGACCATTTCCAATTATGGTGTAGCCGCTCTCACATATTTAGATACTCTCTTTGACTATGCGGGCCCAAGTTATCCCTGCTAATTTCCTAATATCATGGTCCCAACTCAAGTTTGGTCTGCTTCTCCTAGGTCTCTTAATTCCTTGTGGGTGCCATGCTATAATTTTTATGGTCCATCTGTCCGTCCTTTTAGCCAGGTGTCCTGCCCATTGCCCCTTGAGGGATTCTATTCTGTGGATGGACATTTGTTACCTGGGTGTTTTGTCGTACCCACTCTATTTTTTACGGCCTTTCTTGGGTATTCCCTGCATATTTCGTTCCATTGAGCACACATTGAGTACAAAACTAAAGTGTTAAAATGAATGACAATGTCAGAAAATAAATAATTAAATGTGGCAACTTGACATTTTTTACAGCAGAGCTACCACCTGAATCCCAGGCCGAAATTTAAATTCTAGTAAGTCAGCCCGGCGTCGAATATGTCCGTGGTTGGCAACAATGAATTTAAAAATCGCGCTCTCGATAACTAAAAATTTAATTGGTATCGGTTATATATCTATAATCTTAACAGATTTTCTTTTAATTTAATGTGCAACAAAATTAAATACATGTTATTGTTAATTTCAAATAAACATTATCCAATTTTGGAAATAAAATTAAATTTCTGTATAAGTGATCAAATTGTATAACACTGATATTAATGCGTGTTTCATGTTACAACGGAGCTAAAAATACGATACCTAAATTGATATAAATAGAGAGTACTAGATATTCTTTGGACACGCAACTTCTAGTTATATAAAATATCAAATTGAAATATATTTTGTTGTAATTTCTATTTCTTCTTTATATTTATTTATACTGTGACATATTTGTAATTAAGCTCTGATTCTACCTTTTAGTTTGTATAGACATACTAGCTGATACGTGCCCACATCCCTGTGCATAAAAATTTGGAACGAAATATTTCGTTATAAATCTCGCAATGTTGGTATACAGGGTGAGTCTTTAAGGTGGAATAAATTAATTATATCAAACACAGAACTTAGAGAAAATTCATGAACATTTCAATTATTATTATATTAAGTTGTTCATATTTTTACATAAAAAAGAAGATATTTCTACATAAATGTTTCTAAATAAAAGAGGATCGGGGATTAAAATTGCCAGATTTGGAACAAGCTCCTTCTAAATCCTGCCAGTACGTCTGGCCCTTTAGATTATGATTGATATTACTACTGATTAATATTAATAACTTTTGGTCACCAATAATGCTCTAACGTTGAAGTAATTTTTCTGGCCATTGAGTATGGAGTTCTCCCTCATTCAGTGTCAAATGGCTTTTATACAGGGTGAGTCTTAAATAAGTGCAAATATTTTCAGGGCTGGTAGACCTCGATAAAAGAAACATATTTTCTCTTGATTGTTTTTCAATAAAGTCCAAAATAACCGAATCATGTTGTTCGACGGAAGAAAACTCTTTTTAAAAAACAATTATTTTATTTAAACAAATACAGAGTGGATGTTGTCAGTACGAAATCGAACAAAAGAATGATTTTTAATGAAAATTTACTTAAAAAGAAGAGTTATCAATAAAAGCAGGACCAGCAGGTCTCACGGGAAGATCTCCGGTGCGGTCGCATCAGGTGTGGCGGAAATGGCCACATGTAACTACCCAGATATTTTATTTTGAAAATTTAAAAAAAGATAGATTTTTCGCTTAAATTTTCAGAACCACTGGATCTTTTCTAGGTTTTCTTTCTTGTAAATTTAATCTACTACACATATGTATATGCATATTATGAAGATATGTTTTTTAAATAGAAATAAAAAAAAATCCATTTTTTTTTAAAATAACAAATTTTTTTCGCGAAAAAACCTCATGATTCTGATACAGGGGTCAAAATATACTACCCCTAAAATTATTTGCACTTATGTAAGACTCACCCTGTATATACAGATATACTTGTTATATTACAAGGCAAATTTTCAAGTCATATTTTAATGTGTCGCATTTCTAAACTTTTAGTCTAGTCGAGTCTTGTTTAACCCCAAGGAACAAGCCTAAAAAATTGTAGATGAAAATATGTTGTTTTTCTGCATAAGAATATAGGAATACACAGGTAATTTGGATTTTAGCCATAATCAGTGGCCTACATCTATTATATGTCTCATCTATATATACAGGTTGTTAATTTGTTTATTACTCGCGGCAAGAGCTTTTTGATTGAAATATGGCAACCTCGGCCCGCTCGTCGAGAGGCGACGCGACGGGACGAGTCGGCAGCTTAGCTTAAGGTACTCGTACACTTGTACACTTTTTGTATTGCGCAGTCTGAAAAATGTCGCCATTCCTAAATTTAAAAGTGAGACTATCGTTGCAACTTTAAAAATTGCGCAACAATCAAAACTGTACTACATTTTTTCATCTTGCTTACTGTTACGGGCGAGAATTAAGGGGCTCAGTTCATTAGGGTGAGTTGATGTATCAGGACTGTGGGCACTCACCTTTATTCCCGTTCTGGACTCGTACCTGTTGATTTTTGCTTGAACAAAACATTTGAGGATAGCGCGCGCTTGGAGGTGTACACTGTGTACTCGGCCGATCTTGTCACTCTCCGTACTCGACTACGGCTACGTACCCACTGAGGTTTTTCGGGTAAAGGATGGGAGGAAGGGATAGAATCCAACATACCGCCCACCAAAATGAAATATTTTCCATTTTCGTTTGAGAATAGTAAAGTAAAATAAAAAAAAGTGAAAAAATGCGTTATGTTTAAAAGAAAGTAAGAGTGAAATTTATGGAGTTAAATTTAGAGGAAATTTAGAAAAATGCATTATTGGGGTTAATGCATGAGTGTAATTTAATTAAATATTGAGAGAGTTTACATTTGTTATAGAGTAGAGAAAAGTAATTAAATAAGAGATGTTAATTATGTTTATAATGAGATTATGTTTTTTTTTGCGATTATGTTTTTTTTGCGATTATGTTTTTTTTTAGAGAGTAAATTTTAATTATGAGATTTGCAGTAAGGCAGTGGGCATATCTTTGTCACTGGTCTTTTAAGAATGCCTTTTGCTGTTTTTAAAGTAACCACGCGTGTAACACGATCATGGCCCGGGTGAATCTCTAAGACTCTTCCAATGCTCCATTTGAGCGGAATAAGATTATCATCCTTTATTAAAACAACCGAGTTTATTTCTATTGGAATAGTAGAGTCATTCCATTTAGCTCTTTGTAAAAGTGTTTGAAGGTATTCTTTAGACCATCGGCTCCAAAAGCTTTGGTGCAAGCGTGATATCAACTGCCAGCGAGAGAGATGATTTAATTTTATCCCGGAAAGATCATCTTTCGGAGGGGCGTTTAACGGCTCTAGGGTTAAAAAATGTCCTGGAGTAAGAACTGACAAATCATTAGGATCAGAGCTTTGTGGACACAATGGACGAGAATTAAGCACTGCTTCTATTTGAACCAGTAGCGTATAAAATTCCTCATACGTGAGCAATTGGTCACCAATGACCCTTTTAATGTGAGTTTTTACAGACTTTATTCTTGCTTCCCACAGGCCACCAAAATGAGGCGCGCTTGGAGGATTGAAGTGCCAGGAAATTTGTTCTTGCTCAGCGGCGGATTTTAGCATATTAATCAGTTCTCTAGAAGCTCCGACAAAGTTCGTTCCACAATCGGAATAAATATGATTGCAGCGACCTCTACGAGAAATGAATCGACGCATTGCACCCAGAAAAGTCTCGGAGGAAAGGTCGGAAACCAGTTCTAAGTGCAAAGCTTTGTGGCCATGCACACAAATAAGCAAATATAGGCTTTACAGGACTTAGCACCTCGTGCACGATATCTTAATAAAGAGAATGGACCACCATAGTCGCATCCAACTTCAGAGAAAGGTTTTACTTGAGAAAGTCTTACAGCAGGAATATCTCCCATAATAGGAGGCTGAGGCATTACTGGATTAGCGCGAAAGCATTGAGGACATTTAAAGAGAACACTACGAATTGTTTTTCTAGCAGAAACAATCCAGTATTGTTGAGCGAGAATATAGTGAAGAGTTTGGGGACCGGGATGCAAATAGAGTTTATGAGTATATTCTATGAGTAGAGTAGTAAATTTATGATTATTGGGTAAGAGTGCGGGATGTTTTTGAGAGAAATTTAGAGAAGCATTGCGCAAGCGACCACCAACTCTAAGAATTCCATTGGTGTCGATAAAGGGGGTCAATTTTCTTAAGTATTTAGGTAGAGATTTGCAATTATTTATTAAGAGAATTTCCCTAGCATAATATTGTGATTGAACACATTTAATAATACATTCTAGAGTTTCATTTATTTCAAATTTCGAGAGAGGAGAGGTTTTACGAGATTTAGAATGTCGAGTATTATAGAGAAAGCGTCTGCAAAACGTGACAATATTTATAATTTTAGAGAAAGAAGAGAACTTTTCAAAGAGAGTATCAAACAATGAGGGCTGTGAAGTACATGTCAATATAACTTTTCGTTGTTCTTCTTCAGTTTCAGGGAAAGTAAAAATTGATTGTGGCCAATAAGATTCCGGTTGGCTTAGCCATGGAGGTCCCGCCCACCATAAGGCATTGTCGAGTAACTCGCTAGGTTGAAGACCACGAGAACCTGGATCAGCGGGGTTGTCTTTGGAGACTACATGACGCCAACAAGAAGGAGGTAATTTCTCTTGAATTTGGGAAACTCGATTGCTTACAAAGGTGTTCCACTTATATGGTTCACTTTTAAGCCAATGCAAAACAACCATCGAGTCGGACCATGCAATCGTACTAACATTAATAAGTTTATTAGAAAGAGAAGTTCTAACGAAATCAATTAACCTGGTCAGAAGTAAGGCTGCACAGAGTTCCAGTCTTGGAATTGAGATTTTTTTGAGTGGAGCTACTTTGCCTTTAGCGCAGACAAAATTTGTTTTTACAGAGTTATCTGGAAGAATTATCCTAAAATAAATTACTGCACAATAGCCTTTTTCACTAGCATCACAAAAACCATGTACTTCCAGGGATAAATATTTGAGAGTGAGAAAATATCGAGGAACTTTGAGAGAGAAAATACAAGGTAATTCTTGAACGAGTTGATGCCAAGATGTAGCAATGTTATTGGGAGCAGGATCATCCCAATTTATACCTAACTTCCACAAATCTTGTATAATCAGTTTTACGTGAAGAGTGAGAGGAACTAACATGCCACAGGGATCGAATATGCTTGCGAGTTGTGAAAGAATATTGCGTTTGTTACAGATTTTGTTTGTCAAGGACAACGCTGGTGAATCAAAGAAAAATTCATCTGTAGAGGGATTCCAGTTTAGTCCTAGAACTTTAGAGGAAGAAAGAGAATTTATATTTAAAGAGAGAGAAGAATCCATTTTGCATTCATTTGGAGATAACTGAGAAAGAAAATCTGAGCTATTCTAAGTCCATTTTCTAAGTTCAAAACCGCTGTGTTTGAGTATAAAAATGAGATCGCGTTGAATTTTTATAGCAAGAGAAAGAGAATCGCAACCAGATATAATATCATCGACATACGTCTCCATATCTAAAATCTTTGATGCTTCGGGATATTTTACTAAATTTTCTAAAGCAATTTGTTTTATAACTCGAATGGCTAAAAATGGGCTACAGCTTAAACCAAAAGTAACACGAGTAAGTTTGTATTCTTGAATGGGCTCATTAGGGTAAAATCGCCATAAAAATTTTAGGTATTAAGTATGATTTTCATTAACAAGAATTTGACTAAACATTTGTTTAATATCGCTAGCAAATACAATAAAAAGCGATCTAAATCGAAGCAAAATAGATAAAATATCTGACTGTAATTTTGGCCCAGTTAAGAGAGTGTCATTCAAAGATTTATTTGTGTAATCTCGAGCGGAAGCATCAAAAACAACTCTAAGTTTGGTCGTGAGACTATCTGGTCGGATTACGCAATGATGAAGCAGATAATAAGAATAAGCGTTGGGAGAAGGATTTTGCACGGCAATCATATATTGAGAATCTAAATATTCACGCATGTAATTAGAATATTGAGAATAAAGTTGGGGGTTTCGAAGCAATCGTTTTTCGAGCGAGAAAAATCTACGAAGGGCGACATCTCTAGAACCTTCAAAGATCGGTCCAAAGTTTTAAATGGTAAAGATACTTTATAACGTCCAGAAAGAGTGCGTGAAAATGTTTTACAAAAGTGTTCTTCGGCAAGCTTTTCATCTGAAGAAAGCGTCGAGGATTGTGGAACGTCCTCTAACTCCCAGAATCTTTGAAGTGATTGATCCAAGGAAGCATAAGAGGTAAGAAAGTATGAGTTTACAGAGAGTGAAACACTAGATGTTTTAACTCTTCCTGTAATTATCCATCCAAATATAGTTTCTAAAGCGACGGGTTGATCTGGATCTGAGAGGAGTTTGTTTCCTGTTATCAAGAAACCATAATATCTGCACCCAAAAGTATATCTACGGGTTTAGAGAGGTGAAAGTTGGGATCAGCTAAGGGCAATTGAGAAAACTTTGAGAACTGTTCAACGGGAAGAGAATTAATCGGTAAATTATCACTAATTTCGTTTAATATAATAAACTCCAAGGAGTAGATCGGATCAGACTTTCCAATAGGTTTAATGTTGCATCTAACACCGTGAGAACCTTTGGAAATATTTTTCCCGATGCCACACAATTGGATGGGGAGGAAAAATTTAGATAAACCTAATTTATTAAAACAAGATTTTGAAATAAAGTGACTTTCACTTCCACTGTCAATTACAGCGCGTATTACATGAAAATTACCCCACGCATCTTGAACATTGATTAATGCTGTAGAAAGAAGAGCTTTATTCTTATGTTTTGCAAATAAATTTGTAGATACAACTTCTGAGATAGAGCTGCTTGCTTGCAGAACTGGAAGAGTTTGCGATGAAGTGGATGGAGGAACGTTTACAGGAGTTGTTATTTGACCTTCGAAATGTAAAAGCGAATGATGTTTTTTGCCACAAGTTCGGCATGAGGAACGAGAATTACAACTCTTAGAAGAATGTCTAGTGCCGAGACAGTTTGAGCACCAACTTCGGGATTTAATTAAATCATATCTCTGTTTTGGAGTAAAAGCAATAAAATCTGGACAGTTATAAATAAAATGATCCTTGTTACAAACTTGACAAGTTAAATTTTGTTTCAACTGAGTGTTGACAACAAAGGAAGAGGTAGGTTTATTTTTATAACTTTTTTGTGAATACTTCGTTTTAGTTTTGTCATAATTACTATTTTTATTAAAATGAGAAAACGATTTAGTTAGAGAGATTGTATCTTTAGCTGAACATTGTTTTTCTAAAAATTCAATGAGTGTATCGTATGATTTGAGGTATAGCATATCTTGTGATAAAACAGAGCCACATTCCAGTTCAAAATTAGTTTGCAAAATTTCTGGAAGTCTATCATAAATCATATTAAATAGCACAAAACTCCAGCTCTCTGTGGGAAAACCCAAGTTATTTAAAATTGTAATATTACGAGTATAAATATCAATCATATTTCTTAGAGCTTCATGATTATTTTCGTTAGAGATGGGCTTAATATTTTCTAGAGCCTGCCAGTGAGCTTTTGCAATCAAACGTTTCTTATCGTACTTATTTTTTAAGGCTTGATATGCTATATTATAATTTTGATTGGCAAGTGGAGTACTAGATACCAAAGCTAAAGGAGGACCTCGTAAGAAACTCACTAGATAGTTGTATTTCGATATATCACTAAGAGACGAGTTACAGTGTATAAGAGAATCAAACATATCGATAAATGTTTGCCAATGTTTAAATTCACATCAAAATGGGGTACCCAATTTTAGGAAGTTTTACCGAACATTGAGCAGTAGTGTTTTGTAATTGTGTAGTATCCAGCTCCGATTTCGTTTGCGGAAATAAATTTGTGAATAATGCTTCAATGTGAAAATAATAATCATTAAATTCAGTTTGAATTTTGACATGAGGATCAATATCGCCATTATCCTGTGCGGAAACTAATAAAATTATATTATTATGAATCTTATCAAAAGTTTTATAAATATCTTCTAAGTGTTTTGCTCTACATCTAAAGTTAGGGTGAAACTTCCTAAAATTGAGGTACCCCATTTTGATGGTGAATTTAAACATTGGCAAACATTTATCGATATGGCAAACATTTATCCGGCTCGAAGGACCAATGTTACGGGCGAGAATTAAGGGGCTCAGTTCATTAGGGTGAAAATTTGGATCTTCAAGAGCTTGATCAGCGGATTTTTTAAGTTCTTTAATTTTAGTAAGTTCTACAGAGCGTTGAGCTATAAGAGTTTTTAATTTGCGAGCGTCTGCAGACATAGCGAAAATGAGTATAATAATTAATTAGAGCGTAAGAGAAAAATGGAATGCTATAATGTGAGAAAATAAAATATTATAGAATATAATAATTAACTGAGAGAGAGAGAGAGAGAATGATATATTCTACAATAGAATATTATATGAGAAAATAATTATTATATTTTTACCTTATAAGGTGAGAAAATAAAATATTATATTATAAGAATTAACTGAGAAGAGAGAGAGAGAGAGAGAGAGAGAGAGAGAGAGAGAGAGAGAGTGATATATTCTACAATAGAATATTATATGAGAAAATAATTATTATATTTTTACTTTATAAGGTGAGAAAATAAAATATTATAGAATATAATAATTAACTGAGAGAGAGAGAGAGAGAGAGTAATTAATTAAGAGAATAAGAGAGAAATAGAATAATTAACTGAGAGAGCATATGTGCGTATGTGTGTGTGTGTGTGTGAGAGAGAGAGAGAGAGAGAGTAAGAAAGGTATTCGTATTAATTGAGTGTATTTATTAATTAAAAATTAAATTATTAAGAGAGAGAACAGACTAGAGTTGAGACTAAATGCGTATCGATAAATTGGAGCGTAAAAAAGAAATATCCGGACCAGTATCGCGAAACAGCGCTAGATATCGCTTTTAACACCGGTACGGCAATTTAAAAATCGATCGGTCGGTGGCAAATTCCTGGCCAGTGGAACCAGTGACAAAAAATGTACTACCTTTTTTTACTGCGTTAAAGAGAAGATAAATATAGATTTTGTTCGAGAATTTATTTTATTGAATATATTTAAAATAATATATTACAAAAATATTAATGATATTTAGATAATTTTGAGAAATTAATTATGATAATCAATTTAATTGAGTATAAGTAAAATATGTACGTAGTTCAGAAAGGGATCCGGCTCGAAGGACCAATGTTACGGGCGAGAATTAAGAGGCTCAGTTCATTAGGGTGAGTTGATGTATCAGGACTGTGGGCACTCACCTTTATTCCCGTTCTGGACTCGTACCTGTTGATTTTTGCTTGAACAAAACACTTGAGGATAGCGCGCGCTTGGAGGTGTACACTTACAGAAATTGCAATGTGTGAACAGTCAAAAGAAATAATATTGCGCAACATATAAATGCACCGAGATGTTGGTTAAATGATGTGTCGCAATATTACTACTTGTGCAAACTCTAATGTGTTGGTTGTTGTTTGAGGTTAAAAGTTTTTCATTGAGTTGAAGTAGATTTTAATAATAATATTAAGAATTATGTCAAGTTACAATAAAAGCAAGTGGAAGTCGGAGGACACTTTACATTTAATAAGTTTAGTAGAAGATAATAAAAGTAATTGAAGATAATAAAAAGCAATATAAAAAAAGCAATATAATATGTCACGTAGACACCAAGAAAATGATTCAAAATGTAGAGCAACTTCTTAATAGAGTTTCGCCAGAAAAAGTGGCCAATATGTGTGAGTAGCCCTGCAATTCTAAAAAATGTCTTGACATTTTTAAGTTGCGCAATTCATTTATGTAGCAATTTTCGGCTCAATTTTGCCACCCGTGTGAACATATCCAGCAATTTTATAATGACGCCAGGAGAACTTGCGCCACAAAAGTGTAAAAGTGTGCGAGTACCTTTAGTACACATTTGGAATGTAGGCAGTGTTGCATTCTGTTCCCCAATAAATAACCGTCCAGTTAACAATCTGTATATAAATTAAAGTCGGGTTATTTACACCATTTATAACTGAGGAATAGCCGGACATTTTAATGATTTCCGATTTGTTGGATTCGTCTCCATCTCGAATAACAGAACTACTAAAAATAAACTGTAAAATAAATATATTGAAAACATTTCCGGAAAAAAAATTATACAGAAAATTTATTTTTAAATAAATTAGGTTTGGAATTCCGCAATTGACAGCTCACGTGGAAAAAAAATGCGACACATAAAATATTATTGCAAATTGCATAACCAAAACATTTTGCTATAATGGTATATTCAAAACAAGTTTACGTGACCCTTAAGTCCCATTGCTG